GCTCTACCCAGCAAAGCTATCGTTTAGAACTGAAGGTCAGATAAAGAGCTTCACAGATAAGAAAAAGCAAAAGGAGTTCATCACCACCAGACCAGCACTACAGGAAACATTGAAGGGTCTTCTCTAAGAAGAAGCTAATGAACAAAAGAATCTGATGAACTAAATAGATCCAGAGACACTGACGCAGGCAACAGACGATCATATTTCAGAGGAAAGAGGGAAGGGGGGTGGAGGGTGGGAAGAGATTAACCAAAGAAGTTATATGCATATATGCATAACCCATGGACACAGACAATAACGGGGTGAAGGCCTGGGGAGGAGGTGGGAGGGCAGTGGAGGGGGTCAATTGGGGGGAAAAATAGGACACCTGTTATACTTTCAACAATTAAGGTAAATTTAAATTATTTATATATATATACACACACCATATGCGTATTGAAAAGACTGAAAATAAATACATCATCATGGTAATATTTCTGATTGGTGAATTATAGACATTTTAAAATGTTCTCATATTTCCAAATGTTATACAATAAATATATACTATAGTTAAGAAGTGTTATAAACACACACACACACACACTCACACACAAGATCCGGAGAAAAGAAATAAAGGGGGGGAAAAAGCAGAACTAGCACTTAACGCCAGAGGATTCCACAACACTACGGTGATGGACACGTGCTTTCTCTACTCCCCTGTGAGAACCTGCCGAAATGTTGAAATGAAATGATGATGGCCATGTAGAAGAGCAAAAAGACAGAAACACTTAACAGAAAGGAGAATAGGTGAAATGGGGTGAGTTGGAAGGAGGTCTCAGGCGATTTCAAGATGAGAAGCAGATAGGGGCAAGTAAATCAGAGTAGAGGAAGCCCACAGTACAAGCCCGGAGAGAGCCAGGCGGAGGTGAGAGCCGGCCTTAGTTGCGAAAGCTGAAGAGGCTTTGGCGAGGAGTGGGCTGGTGGATGGATGAGAAAGGGGTGGAGAAACAGGCGTAAAGATTTGGCCCCTTAGACTCCCTACCCACATGTGTATGCAAAACAACTGACATTTAACTTCAGGGCAAAAACTGAGAAGACAGACAGGTGGGCTCTTGTCCAAAGAATGATCTGCTCAGGGCGAAGGAAGTTTCCTCCCTCCTTTTCTGAAACGCTGAGGCGCTCAGCCTGTCCAACCAGCATCCTGTCTAAACACTTTAAAGCAAAGTCTTCAGTCAACAGGAACTGCACAAAGCGTGCAGGATTCTGTCTTGTCAGTTTAAGGGGAGGCCTCTAAGGGGAAAAGACCAAGATGCAACAGCAGCAAAAACTTACACTAGCTACCTGGAACGATCGGCAGGGCTCTTCATCCTTAAATAGGAACCGAAAACCAAGGAGATATACATATATGTATATATTCTGGGAACCCAAGGAAGGATAACCTTCTAATTAACATTTAGACTCTCTCTCTCCCCCTCCCTCCCTCTCTCCCTTCCAGTCTCTCTGAAAAGCAATAGAAATATCCTCAGGTGAGGACTGAAAAGAAAAGAGAGAGAAACTCAGAGGAAAAGGGGGTACACAGGCCACCAACAGGGGAATGAGGATCCAGTTGCCGTAGGAATTGTCCTCAGGAATATTAGGCGCCAGAAGACAAGGAAATAATTTCTTCAAGACTGGGAATTCTAGATTCAGACGTAGAATTCTAGAACTGGTTAAATCAATGTGATGGAAAGACAAAGACTCAGAAATTTACTACCTTCATCAACTGTTTCTGAGAAAGTCACTCAAGAATAAATATCTATAGAATAAAGGGAATAAATGAGAAAGACATGGCATCTGTGAAGGACTAGCACCCCATGGATGGCCATGTGCGATGAGTCCCCATCGGAGCAGAGAGTGGGAGCCTGTGGAAGAGACACCTGGGGGGGGAGGGAGAGGGAGATTGCGATATTAGTTTTGTAGAGAAGTAAATATAAACCTAGCAGGCTATTTGGCTCTGTAGTGAGCAATAATATACACAATAATGTAATCCTATTGGTTATTTTTCAACTTATAGAACCAAACCATGGTCAAGACTATTATGGTTAAAAAATAAAAGGAAAAATAAATCTAATGGTTCATAGCAACATTACTCATAACAGCAAAAACAAAGTGGAAACAACCAAAATGTGTATCAACTGAAATGCAGAAACCAAATATGGTATATCCATACACTAGAATATTATTTGGCAATAAAAAGGAATGAAATACTAATACACACCAACACATGATGAACCTCAAAAACATTATGCTAAGTGAAAGAAGCTAGTTCCGAAGGACCACATATTATATAGTTCCATTCATTTGAAGTTAGTCTAGAACAGATAAATCTACAGAGACAGAAAGCTGGTTAGTGGTTGTGTAAGGCTGGGGGAATTATGGGGAAATGGGGAGTGACTGATAATAGGTATGGGGTTTCTTTTTGGAGTAATAAAAATGTTCTAAAAGTTATATTATGGTGATGGTTGCATAACTCTAAATATAATAAAAGCTATTGGATTGTATACTTTAAATGGGTGGATTTTATGGTACATAAATTATACTTGTCAAGCTTTTTTTTTTTTAAAGTAAAACTAACAAAAGTTGGGAGGTGAATAGGTATGGAGAGGTGAAGAAAAGACATGAAGTAATAATACCCTTCTCTTACTTATCAGGAGGGTAAAAGAAAATATTGAAAACTGGCAAAATAAAAAATGGAGGTTTAGCCTGGCCAGTGTGGTTCAGTGGTTGAGCATCCAGGAGATGGCGGTTCGATTCCCGTTCAGGGCACATGCCTGGGTTGCGAGCTCGATCCCCAGTAGGGGGCGTGAAGGAGGCAGCTGATCAATGACTCTCTCTTATCATTGATGTTTCTCTCTCTCTCTCTTTCTCCCTTCCTCTCTCTGAAATCTATAAAATATATATATATATATTTTAAATGGAGGTTTAAATGAATGATTTAAAGTATAAAAGGTAACCAATAGAAGAATTTTAAAATGATACATCAAAAATTGGGAAGAGGAGAAGATGGAAGTGGGAGGTGATATTAGTGAGCTAAGTTTATGTTTTTCATATATCAGGTAGCATACACTACCTAAAGTTGGTAAAATAAAAACTAGAGATACATGCACATTATTTAAAGTTTTGGATGTAACCCCAATTATAATAAAAGGTAGCTGCCTTTGGGGAATGAAAGTGGGATGGAGAGGAAGACTGGATGTTTCATTAAAAGTGCTTTAGTATTATCTGTTGTTTGTTTTGTTTTGTTTTACTGTGGGCCTGTAGTGCTTTGATTAGAGCAAAAAGAAAAAAAAATAGACTATGTTAATAAAATTGGAAAATAAAGAAAAAGTATTTACATGGCTTTCAAAATATGATATCTTGTATGAAAATACATATTTTCAATCCCCAAAGGGACAATTACCTGCCAAGTTAAAATTTCTGTAATGAGACCAATTTTCAAACACTGCATTCTTCCATAAAGTCTTTAACACCGCCACCTTGTGGCAGAAAAAGGCAACTTTATTTATTTAGTAGAAATTATATATTTATTTATATAACTCATGTGGTTCAAAATTTAAAAAATTTAAAAACATGTGATAAAAATGTCTCTCCAACCCTGTACTTCACAAACTCAGTTCCTCTCCATAGAGAATCCAATGTTAATAGTTTCTTTTGTATATTCTTCCAAAAATATTTTAAGCATACTTTAGCAAATATGTATATGTATATATATTTTAACACAAATATTAGAATACTATTTGCAGTTATATTTTTTATTTTCCAGTCTTATAATATTTTGGAGAGTTTTCTGTATCAGTACTTAAAGATTCTCCCTTAATTTTATTAGTAGGTGTAAAATATTCCATTATATGAATATCGATGATTTATTTAATCAGCCCCTTAGTGATAGTTAATTCAGTCTTTTGATTTTTCAAATGATGCTGCAATGAATAAATCTGTATGTATGACATTTCTCACATTTTGGGAAGGGTACCTGTATTTATAATTTTGAGAGATTTTATCAAATTCCCCTCCACTGAGTTTGTACTAGTTTGTACTCCAAACGGCAAGACATAAGCACACTGTTTTCCTACAGCAATGACACTGTGTTATCCAGACTCTTGTGACCTTTAACAGTCCAGACAACAGCTCTTTTCTGGCAGGAACCATGGAGGGTGCAGAAGAGGAAAAGAAGAAGGTTCCTGCTGTACCAAAAACCCTTAAGAAAAAGTGGAGGAATTTCTCAGAGCAGATCAAGTGCCTGAGAAAGAAGTTTGCCCAAAAGATGCTTCAAAAGGCAAGGAGGAAGCTTATCTATGAAAAGGTTAAGCATCTCACAGGGAACAGAGGCAGATGCAGAGCTGAGGTTCAAATGGCCAGGGCGGCAAGAAGGGCTGGTGGCTTCTATGCACCTGTGGAACCTGAATTGGCATCTGTCATCAGGATCGGAGGTGCCAACGGTGTGAGCCCAAAAGTCCGAGAAGTGCAGCTGCTTCGCTGTCGCCAGATCTTCAGTGGCACCTTTGTGAAGCTCAGCAAGGCTTCAGTGAACATGCTGAGGACTGTGGACCCATATATTGCAGGGGGCGCCCAACCTGGTCAGTAAACGAACTGATGTACAAGTGTGGCTATGGCAAAATCAACCAAAAGCGAACTGCCCTGGCGGACCACACACCGGGAAATACGGCACCGCCTGCGCGCAGCGCCTGCTTCATGAATCCATACTTCCAGCTTCCGGTGGCCCCTCAAACGACCCTCCCCGCCAGGGGAATGGCCACCCCCCATTTAGTAGGAGGCGGGGGTGCCGGTGACCGGGAAGGCCAGGCCAACAGGCTTATCAGAAGGATGACCAGAGGCCTCTGCCGCGGCTATTTCTGTACTCTAGTCAGTTAAGAAACAGTGGCTGCTTTAAAGCTGAAAAAAACAAAACAAACACATACCAATCTAGACAACATTTTTTTTTTTTTTTTTTGC